TAATAGGAAGAAAGTGATACAACTCTACTCGTGGAACGGAACTGTAATTCCATCATTTCCCCCAAAATATACAGGGTTTGTGTTATTGTCGTTTTAGATCGGCAGTGCCTGCTCTACGTTTTGTTGTTTGTTTGTTGTCTAACGCCACACTCAGACATATTACAGTTAGAGGGTAGAATAGGTCTTCAGCGACAATGCGACTGACGGGATCGGGTGGTTGATGCATGACATCGTATCCCAGTTGCGTGAATCTATGCATGTCATCGTATCCCAATTGCGTGGATCAATGTTCATGATGTCAATCACTGGATTGTCTGGTCCAGACTATTTTTTTTACAGACCGCCATCATATATACTGAACCGCAAAAGAAACGTCACCATGGAAAGATATATGAGAAACCATCTTTGTCCTAACACTGTAAACATGCTTTGAGACATATTCGAAAGATGAAACTTGGCAAAACTGATCATCAAGGTTGAAATTAAAGTCAGTATCTCGTGTGTCCGCCATGTGCGTTGATGCAGCGTCGATACATGGAATGGATAAGGCGGTTGATGAAGGCCATGGGCACTTGAGCCCACACTCTGAGGAACGCCTGACGCAGTTCAGCTGCAGTTGTCGACCTTGGTCGGACGTCATTCAGCCGTCTTTGAATCTCGTCCCACAGGTGCTCAATGGGATTTAAATCGGGACTGAGGGTTCTGATGCCATTCTGCTGGAGAAAGTCTCTTGTTGCTCTCGCAGTGTGGGCACGGGCGTTATCATGCTGAAACTCGTGGTTGCGGCGACGTGCCAATTGAGGTATTGCGTGTGGTCTCAAGACCTGATCAATGTACCGAGCTGCTGTGACACCATTGCCTCTCCCAGGACCGATGTTCTGGAAGACCACAGGGTCGAACCTCTGTGTAAGACCAATTCCACCCCACACCATGATGTTTGGACCACCCCACGAGCCTCTCAACAACACAAGCATCCGAAAAACATTCCCAACGGCGTCGCAAGACTCTCTCTTTGCCATCGAAATACAGGAACGGCTCTCGTCTGAGAAGAGATCTCTTCGCCACTGCTGGAGGCGCCAATGCTGTTGCTGTGTTGCCCACTGAAGACGGTCCCGGCGATGACGTGGTGTCAGAATGGGTCCTCGGTGTGGCCTGTGACAGTGGAGGTGTCTGCTCGTCAATCGTCGACGCACGGTCTCCGCACTAATGTGTCGCTGGTGTGTCCCCATGGTCTGTCGAGCAGTTTCCGCAACAGTAACAAAGCGATCTTGAAGATGCTGTCGCACAGTCTGACGATCCTGACGTCGGGTGGTGACCCTTGGTCTTCCAATACGTGGTCGGTCATCTGAAGTCTTGGTGGTCTGGTACCGTTGCTGGAGCCTGTATATGGTCCATACGTGGACTTGAAATGCATTGGCTACATGCCGCGCGGTTTGTCCAGCTTGCAATCGTCCAAGGGCTTGGTGTCGCTGATTTCTTGCCAATCTTGGCACGTGGTAGCAATTCAATAACGAATGAATGTTATCCGATCCCGGTGGATTTTTATAGGGCAAGAAATGGGGGAACGCATTTGCACGGAACTCACGTGCATCGGGTTACCATGGCCGTTGCCCTGATGCGTTTGGGCGATCGGTTTTATTGTCATCTGCTTTGTTTTTGTATCATCAAATTTCATTTTTCCGGTCAATATAATGTTTAATTTTAGAAACTTTGACAAAAACTACCCAGATATTTAAATGACAACTTTTCATGCAATGTTACTTGGGTGACGTTTCTTTTGCCGTTCAGTATAGCTTGACAAATGCCGACAAACAAACAAGCGCACTTATTAAACAAACAAACGGCATGGTCCACATTGGACACTATAAGGCCTTATATTTCCATTCCGCTGTTTTCGAAAGTTTGGAACACTCAAATATTACCGAGCTGACGAGTTTTACTGTATGGTATATTGGTATTATTATTATGATATTTAGAACGTTATATATTTAAATTTAAATTGATCAATTAATGTGTTAATTATATAAAACATGGTTAGTATAATTATATTAAACATGGTTAGTGTCTAGTTTGTGTTGTGGCCGCTGTCAAATCGCTGGAATATTCACGAGTGAGGCATTAAACAAAAAACATATATGTCAATTTACGAGTGTGGCATATGATTGTTTTCAGTCACTGTGTATAACTGACGAGGTTTAACATTACTATTTTTCAACATCTATGTACAATAACATAGCTCTGATATCTTCATTGTTTAGTGGTACCTGATTCTGGCCAATAAAATAATAATTCAGTCTTTATGGTGTTTAATATGGATCACTCAAGCAACCGTAAAATAACCATGGTGTGCGGTCAGGCTTGCGTGTCAAGGTGACACATTGGCGTTGATGCTCGTTCTTCATGCGGCCCGTGAAGATCCGGGGTAGAATAGGTCTTCAGCAACCCATGCTTGCCGTAATAGGCGACTATGCTTGTCGTAAGAGGCGACTAACGTGATCAGGCTCGCTGACTTGGTTGATGCTTGTCATCGTATCCAAATAACCTGGATCAATGCTCATGATGTCAATTACTGGATTGTCTTGTCCACACTCGATTATTTACAGACCGCTGTCATATCAGGAATATTGCTGAGTGCCACGTTAAACAACAACTACAGACCAACATGTTGATTGCCTATGTATCCAGAAGCAAAGAACATATATGGGTGTATAATCTCTGCCGGAAGTAAACAAAACTGTTAAATCAATAAACCATGAAGAACAGTAAACCGCCGCATGAAACAGTATGAATCATACATTACATACAGTGAACTCCTGTTAACAATACTGCGCTCAACTATGCGCAGCAAGTACCATACATGTGATTATGAAGATTATGAACTAATTACAAATTTCTCGACCCGTGAAGTTCCGGGGTAGAATAGGTCTTCATGATCAGCACCCCATTCTTGCCGTAAAAGGCGACCATGCTTATCGTAAGAGGCGACTAAAAGCGGCATAAAACCATACTTACTTACTCACTGGAAATATGAACTAATGCAATTATGCATTTTAGTATTTTGTTGTTGTTGTTGTTGTTGTTTAACGCCGCACTCAGCAATATTCCAGCTATATGACAGCGGTCTGTAAATAATCGAATCTGGACAAGACAATCCAGTAATTGACATTATGAGCACTGATCCACGCTATTTGAATACGATGACAAGCATCAACAAAGTCAGCCAGCCTGACCACGTTAATCGCCTCTTACGGCAAGCATAGTCGCATGTTACGGTAAGCAAAGGTTGCTGAAGACCTATTCTACCCCAGATCCCCACGGGTCTGAGAGTCTTAAAATCACGGTCAAGCATAGCATTTACACTTTTATTCACGGGTTTAATCCAAAAAGTAAACACTTAAGACTTGAGTTTTCGTCCTCTGACAGATCCTGAATTGATAGTTATACTGTTCAAAGCTGCGTTAACCCAACGCACTCACTACTGTGTAATAACAACATACATACTCACTCACTCACTCATAGCAATCTTATGATCTGATCATGTTTGAACAAACACTATGGCGCTACGAGATCGGCGGAGAGAAAGCTGTCCAATGCCAAAGTCAGCAATAATAAAATAATTCTCTCATCGTCTCCCGTTACAGTATATAAAGTTCTCAGTTATTGAGGGGACCCGTGAAGATCTGGGGTAGAATAGGTCTTCAGCAACCCATGCTTGTCGTAAAAGGCGACTATGCTTGTCGTAAAAGGCAACTAACGGGATCGGGTGGTCAGGCTCGCTGACTTGGTTGATGCATGTCCTCGATCCCGATTGCGTGGATCGATGCTCATGATATCAATCACTGGATTGTCTGGTTCAGACTCGATTATTTACAGACCACCGTCATACAGCTGGAATATTGCTTAGTTCGGTGTTAAACAACCAACCAACCAAATCGTTCTTCATGCTTTTCAGTCATCGGGTTGATCGATCCGACCTCAACCCAGTTCAGTCTGTTTTAATCGAACACAATTTTAATGGTTTGGCAGAAGTACAACGTGACACAAGATAAATTAAATACACTCAATAATGCCTCTGTTTATACATGAAGGACATTGATTAACGCGCCACGTCAGTATATAATAATTTAAAGGCAGACAACACTTGAATGATAAGAATATCAACAGTTCCTCAGATTTATGAATGATTGTTAAAAACATGTTGAATGCAGTGGGTGTAAGGGCGGCGTCTTACAGGGGTTCTCTTTAGTTAATCATATTTTAGAAACTGCCTCCATGGTCTAGTGGAAAGAGCGTCTGCCAAACAGAGGAAGGTCGTGGGTTCGATCCCCGGCCACGTCATACTAAAAGACGTTAAAAGATGGAACTTGTTGGTACCCTGTCTGACGCTCGACATTAAGGGGCTAAAACAATGTGTGGTCGGCTCGGAGTCCATCTACTGTGTCTGAGTGGGTATGTTGAACTGAAACACGGGTAAGCACATCACTATATAGGTGTAATTATCGCGACGTTAAATACCATTTCCCCTTCAACTCGTATTTTTAGAAGTGTTCCTTCCAAAAGTCTGGTATCCAAGGCGATGGCTTAAATCCTGCTGGGTTGGCTTTGTTGTTTAACACCGCACTAAGCAATATTCCAGCTATACGACGGCGGTCTGTAAGTAATCGAGTCTGGACAAGACGATCCAGTGATTGACATCATGAGCATCTATCCACGCAATTGGGAGTCGATGACATGAATCAACCAAGTCAGCGAGCCTTACCACCCGATCCCGATCATTTTAAAAACTCCAATATTTTTAGAGAAACCAAAATGGCGCTCTCCTTCAGTCAAAAACAAACTAACCCTTATACTTCCCCGCCTACAGGGCTGGGAAGAATAAATCAGCAGTAGAAACATTAAAAGTGTACTTTTATGCATACTTTTATTATCGTATTTGTACAAGTTTCTGATACCTACTGTACATGTTAGAAATTTCAATAAGATATTAGAAGTTCACGAGACACAGTGGGTATTTTTATTGTGTTTGGTAAGGTTTCACACACATACAGTACATGTTTTCACTTATCCTCATCCTCCCAAACTGGCTTCCACATGAAATATTGCTTCAATGAAATTGAGACACAATGCTTTCCAGACCATTTTGACGTCATCGGTTACCCTCACTTTGAAGAATGATATTGGGATGATAAATAGAATCTCACCCTCGTTACTCGTGATATCAAATATATCAACTCACGACGATACAAGTTTTCAACTTTTAAAGTTCTTACAGTTTACATCAAAAGACACCCGTGTGAGATTTTCATGGTTTTGTAGTTCGTTGACCAACTGCGTTCAGAATCATATGGTTGTCTCATGGCATGTCAGAAGTGTGTGTCATTCCAACATGTATGATAAAATGGGTTACCCTTCAAAAAGCGATCGCCGGCAAAGAGATAAAATGTGTGTATTTATTCAAATGTTCTATAGCAGAACGCCCTAGTACTTATAAGATCATATACCATAAAATACATTTGTCAGTTTCCACAAAATCCTCCATTTACTGAATCATTATCACCATTCAAAAACCCGAATGAAAAATTGATTAAGAGTAACAGAACAAAGCAGGTAATTCAGAGTACATTTATAGTTATATATTGTATTGATCAACATGGACATATGGTTGACTGGTTCATTGTAAACGATTCTAGTTTTAGTTGTGTCCATTATTACGAAGCGAATGTTCTTTGGGTTTTTTCGATGTGAAATGTAATACCGACCTCAGATCAAAGAGTTTCGATTATGTTAAAAGGGGTTTGATAATAAAACTGTAGTGTTTCGAAAAACAGCTATGTCACTTTAATTGTTTATCGTAATTAAAACGCTGCGGGACAATCAATCTTTGGGGGCGCAACGAGTAGTTTATTTGCATTTAAAATATCAGTATTATGTGCATCTGCTTTAAGGATTCTAATAAAATGTACAAGATTTAAAATGTCTGACAAGTCCATTTTATGAAATGCGGGGTTAATGTTGGTATCTTTCACAAATATTAAATCGATCATCTGTACTTTTTCTCCAAATACTGGCTGTCATATCTTGCCCACTTTTGCTTGCGATCGTTCAGCCATTGCGTTCATCTAAGTTGCCCAGGTACATCTAACGCGAACAACTCACTAGATCCTACCCTCTCAAAATTAACGCCATCACGTTTCGAGCACATATTCGAATCTCCAGAAATGACGTCATAGTAGAACAATGTTTTATCGTAAACTAAAACACGTTACGTTCTTTATTGTTCTTTGCGATTTATCATGATGTTATCCTATATTAACCATTAAACGACAATAAGAATTTTTTTACATTAGATATACATGGATATGACAATGTACTCTTTATCATCCACTGTGTGGTGCATTGGTGTAACCTAGTGGTTAAACCATTCGCTCATCCCGCCTAAGATCAAGGATCAATTCCCCACGTGGATACAATGAGACCTGAACACATTGGACTAGCCTAGTGTTTACAAAATTAGACCAACATGATGTGAAATATTTGCTTTTAAGTGAGGAGAGACGGAAAGTGAGTGACCCGATCCCTGGCCGCATCAAACCAAAAGACGTCAAAGGATGGTACTTGTTGCTGCCCTGCATGACGTTGCGCATTAAGCGCATAAAAAATGGACTGGTCGGCTCGGAGCATACTTTAGCTGAGTGAGGTATCCATGTTAAACTGTGGGCTAGCACTATAAACTCGGGTATTAGTATTTTCTACCTCTGGTTTGTCTGGTCCAGATTGGAATGCTTATGTCTCTCATTAAACGACAACCAACTGGACTATTTGACACTGTAACAACCTCATTAATTCAAAGATGCGATTTAGAATTGGTCTACTGCAAACTACGGAAGTGTCAACTATGCTTGTATTAAAGAAGCTACGAACGGGATCAGGTGATCAGGCTCGCTGACTTGGCTGATGCATGCCATCGTATCCTACTTGCATAGATCGATGCTCATGGGGCTTAATCACAAGATTGTCTGGTAGAGATTCGATTGTTTGCAGACCACCATCTCATAGCTGGAATATTTCTGAATGTTGCGTTAAAGAACAAAGAATCAAACAAAAATAATTCAAAATCTTCAGGATCTTTGATACTAACAAGTCAACCTTGATTGAAAACAGTATAAGGCACTATTTCTATAGTTATCAGGTCGACATGACGACGATATCGATATTCAATGTTAACATATATGGATTTACTGATGCCAGTGTATATACATATTTTATTTATAATTATCCAAACAATGCGTAATTGGAGGTTTTCGACACACTTCAAAGATTTGCCGATAGCCATTATGTCAAGTTTCATTTCATTTAAAGCACAAACGTCATTACTAGTTGTAACAAATCGCTCACAGCTCCGTTTAAGAATATCCGATTGTTTTGAGAAAGTACACAATACATTTATTGGGGAAATGTCATTTGTATATGTCACTGTGATACTTGGTTGAAATCTTGAGTGGATTGTGTCTCATTCACTCATGTATTGCCCAAACTCGATTATTTACAGTCCAACGAGATAAAACAGCATTGTTCCATAAACTGTGGCGTAAAACATCATTCACTCTATTTCTCACTTTTAGTCGAACGGGTTTCCATACTGTTCCTGTAGTGAGGCCTTGGTATAAAACAAGATAACATAAGTAATGTATATGACACACGTTCATAATTGGAAAAATGCTGATTTTAGTTTAAGTAATGATGTTGTTGCATACATGTTTACAGCCGTGTATGTAAACACTTTTTAAATTTTGTAATGGACATCATCACATAAACTGAATCTTCACTCCAGTGGTCATAAAAAACTCTCTTTCCAGAACCTCCAGAACCGACAATTTGTGAATCAAACTAAATAATCCGGCAATACTCTACGAAAACCGAAGACATTTCTGCATCTCTCAGCATCAGGTTGCTATTTTGCAGTCTCATATATGGTTCAATATGATTTCTCACTGCTCTCATTGCTATCTCTGATTTTATAGAGGTATCTCACAGACAGCTGCGCGATTCTCACTGCATGTTCTGTCGGACATTCCACCATTGGTCAAACGTACACAGTTCTGAAAGCTTACGTTGTCAGGTTCGCCAGGTGGCCACTTCCAGACATAAGTTGAACCGTCCTCCCAGGTAAAGACATTGTTGACTTGCTGCATTCCAACCCAGAGAGACTCTGACACATCCGCTGCCAAGAGAAAACTCAGTAAACTTATGAGCCACCCATGGCATCAACCACACATTTACAAGAGACCCGAATATTGTTATATAAAAATGGTCTTGGTATAGCACTGTCTTTAAATAAAAGAGACCGCGAGTCTGTTATGAGGTTAATACTTTACTATAGAAGGACAGAACTTACTGACGCTACTCTGATATGAGAAATTTTAGCTACAGGACACTGTACAATGTATATATTGAATCTCATTCTGTGTTCATAGGTATTCTACAGCAGGTCACAAGGTACAAACGGGCACCATATACTAACCTTGACTCTGGAATGAGGTCATGAACTCCTGTTTCTCCTGACTGTTGAGGACGACAAGGCGGCCACCTTCAGAATGGCACAGATCATTTTGAGATGTCCAGTTGTTGGAGATTGATATCAACTTGTAACACAGCCGGGGAGACAACACGGACGTGTAGCCCCTGGATACAGGACATGGGTCTGGATCAGGAAGCGCTGAAAGTGAATAGCCCCGTTTCTCTATCATCTTCGTTTTCATTTTGCAAAAGGCATCTAAATGTGTAACAGAACATGTTGGAAGTTGGTTAACAGTCTCCGGAATGTGGTGAGTATTTCAGTTAAATAACGGCTTTTCAACAGTGAGGAAGTGACGTAGGTCAGAGACGTTCAGACCAGTAAGCTATTGGTACTGACAAACCTAATTGCATAATCAGACGAATCTATGTTTTTGAAACCATGATCATTCATATTTGTCATGTACCACACAATGGGGCTAGTGAGTGAGTGAGTATGGTTTAACGCCGCTTCTAGCAATATCACGATGAGGGACACCGGAAAATTGGCTGCACACATTGTACCCATTTGGGGAATCCAACTAGGGTCTTTAGGCATGACGAGCCAAAGCTTTAACCAGTAGGCTACCCAACGCCCCCATGTACCACACAGCGAATATTCCACCACCTTTGACGACTGGGCAACTCCTCCCCATTTCCAGAAGGTACTGATGATGATTGTCCTACATTGCTGCAATTGTCCGATATACCCCGAACACTAACTAGTCATGTCTAGACCCAGCAAAGCAGTGACTGACAAAATGAGGAATGATCCCCGCCATACGGGAAACGATGCCATGACTAAAGTGACCACATGAACCAGTTTAGTCGCCTCCAGCTGACCAACAATCTTGTGTTCTGACCTGGTACCCAAAGGGGTCACAATTGAAAAATATACATTGCAGTAGTTAAATCACAATGGTTATGGTTATTTTCACCATTTATCATTTTACCTGATGATACTACAGCAGTCACAACGTTCATGCTGTATGAACATAGATCAGGTAAAAAATTGCTCTTTTGATATTTCAAATAAAACATAGACTCAAATTATAATAATCATGGCATCAGCCTAAGCTTCCGTGAAATTACAATTCTTAAAACATATTGAGTTGGTTTTTTTATTTACTGCTGTCAAGGTGTTTCCTATTCTAGTATATACACTAATTGTGTCTCCCTGCACAAACACAAGATGGCAGCAATGGTTGAATCAGTGTTCAATGTCTAAATTGCCACTACAAGTGTCCTATGATCTCACCTCCTGCCTTGATGAAGTGCTTGGCTCCAGGAAATGATTTCGCAGATGATGTGAGAGTAGATCTGTACATGTTGCAGTTTCCACCAAGGTAGGTGACAGCAGCACAGAGTCCGTCTTGGGCACAGAGACCAGCACAGATCCTTTCATCAAGAGATGTCTGTATGCTGGAGGGATGTTCCCGTGCCTGTAAACCTTCCAGTGTTATTTGTCTCTCAAAACGATGCCTGAAATCGCCGTTTCCTGCATACGCGACCGGGATCAAGACAATGACCAGACACAGCACAGCGTTCATCTTGCTTCAGTGTAACACGACAGTTACTGCAGTATGTTTTGACATCTGCAATGTAATCAGATGTTTACTATATGATTCAGGTTAATTCAGTGCAAGCGGGATGTTTTCTCCAAATATCATGTTCCAAAGAGAATCTTGAAATGTTAATGCGGTCACAGTGGATTTATTCAAAAGACATCGATTGTCTGTTCAACATCCATTCCTTTTACCGTTCAATAAAGAAAAGTGAAAAGTAATATCGACCTCAGATCAAAGACTTTCATTTATGTTAAAAGGGTTTGATCGTAAAACTGTAGTGTTTGGAAAACCAGCTATTTGACATGAGTTGTTAATCGTAATTAAAACGCTGCGGGACAATAAACCGTATGGGGGGCGCAAGGAGTCGTTTATTTCGTATTTAAAATATCAGTATTATGTGCATATTCTTTAAGGATTCTAATAAAATGTACAAGATTAAAAAGGTCTGACAAGTCCGTTTTATGAAATGCGGGGTTAATGTTGGTATCTTTCACAATTTTAAGTGGATCATCTGTACTTTTTCTCCCAATACTGGGGAACAACTCACTAGATCCTTCCCTCTCAAAATTAACGCCATCACGTTTCGAGCACGTATTCGAATCTCCAGAAATGACGTCGTAGTAGAACAATGTTTTATCGTAAAATAAAACACGTTACGTTCTTCATTGTTCTTTGCGATTTATCATGATGTTATCTTATATTAACCTTTAAACGACAATAAGAATTTTTTTAAATTAGATATACATGGATATGACAATGTATTCTTTATCATCTACTGTGTGGTGCATTGGTGTAACCTAGTGGTTAAACCATTCGCTTATCCCGCCTTAGATCAAGGATCAATTCCCCACGTGGATACAATGAGACCTGAACACATTGGACTAGCCTAGTGTTTACAAAATTAGACCAATATGATGTGAAATATTTGCTTTTAAGTGAGGAGAGACGGAAAGTGAGTGACCCGATCCCTGGCCGCACCAAACCAAAAGACGTCAAAGGATGGTACTTGTTGCTACCCTGCATGACGTTGCGTATTAAGCGCATAAAAAATTGACTGGTCGGCTCAGAGTATACTTTATCTGAGTGAGGTATCCATGTTAAACTGTGGGCTAGCACTATAAACTCGGGTATTAGTATTTTCTACCTCTGGTTTGTCTGGTCCAGATTCGAATGCGTATGTCTCTCATTAAACGACAACCAACTGGACTATTTGACACTGTAACAACCTCATTAATTCAAAGATGCGATTTAGAATTGGTCTACTGCAAACTACGGAAGAGGCAACTATGCTTGTATTAAAGAAGCTACGAACGGGATCAGGTGATCAGGCTCGCTGACTTGGCTGATGCATGCCATCGTATCCTATTTGCATAGATCGATGCACATGGGGCTTAATCACAAGATTGTCTGGTAGAGATCTCATAGCTGGAATATTTCTGAATGTTGCGTTAAAGAACAAAGAATCAAACAAAAATAATTCAAAATCTTCAGGATCTTTGATACTAACAAATCAACCTTGATTGAAGTCAGTATAAGGCACTATTTCTATAGTTATCAGGTCGACATGACGATGATATCGATATTCAATGTTAACATATATGGATTTACTGATGCCGGTGTATATACATATTTTATTTTTAATTATCCAAACAATGCGTAAATGGAGGTTTTCGACACACTTCAAAGATATGCCGAAAGCCATTATGTCAAGTTCATTTCATTTAAACCACAAACCGCATTACTAGTAGTAACAAATAGCTCACAGCTCCGTTTAAGAATATCTGATTCTTTTGAGAAAGTACACAATACATTTATTGGGGAAATGTCATTTGTATATGTCACTGTGATACTTGGTTGAAATCTTGAGTGGATTGTGTCTCATTCACTCATGTACTGCCCAAACTCGATTATTTACAGTCCAACGAGAAACAGCAGCATTAATATTGTTCCATAAAATGTGGCGTAAAACATCATTCACTCTATTTCTCACTTTTAGTAGAACGGGTTTCCATTCTAGATCTGTTCCTGTAGTGAGGCTTTGGTGTAAAACACGATAACATAAGCAATGTATATGACACACGTCAATGATTGGAAAAATGCTGATTTTAGTTTATGTAATGGTGTTGTTGCATACATATTTACAGCCATGTATGTCAACACTTTTTAAATTTTGTAATGGACATCATCACATAAACTGAATCTTCACTCCAGTGGTCATAAAAAACTCTCTTTCCAGAACCTCCCACACCGACAATTTGTGAATAAAACTAAATAATCCGGCAATACTCTACGAAAACCGAAGACATTACTGTATCTCTCAGCATCAGGTTGGTATCTTGCAGTCTCATATATGGTTCAATATGATTTCTCACTGCTCTCCTGGTATCTCTGATTTTATAGAGGTATCTCACAGACAGCTGCGCAATTACAACACAAGTCCATTTTATGAACAGTGAGGTTAATGTTGGTATCTTTCACAAATATTAAGTCGATCATCTGTACTTTATCTCCAAATACCGGCTATCATATCTTGTCCACTTTTGCATGCGATCGTTCGGCCATTGCGTTCATCTAAGTTGCACAGGAACATCTATGGGGAACAGCTAACTAGATCCTTATAATTACCACTCAAAATTAACGCCATCACGTTTCGAACACATATTCGAATCTCCAGAAATGACGTCATAATAGAACAATGTTTTATCGTAAAATAAAACACGTTACGTTCTTCATTGTTTTTTGCGATTGATCATGTAGTTATCTTATATAAACCATTAAATGACAATAAGATTTTTTTTTACATTAGATATACATGGATATGACATTGAACTCTTTATCATCAACTGTGTGGTGCATTGGTGTAATTTCGTCGTTAAACCATTTGCTCATCCCGCCTGAGATCAAGGATCAATTCCCCACGTGGATACAATGAGACCTGAATACATTGGACTAGCCTCGTGTTTATAAAATTAGACCAACATGATGTGAAATATTTGCTTTAATGTGAGGTGAGACGGAAGGTGAGGGAGTGATCCGATCCCCGGCCGCATCAAACCAAAAGACATCAAAGGATGGTACTTGTGGCTACCCTGCATGACGTTAGGCATTAAGCGTATAAAACAAGGACTGGTCGGCTCGGAGCATACTTTATGTGAGTGAGGTATCCATGTTAAACTGTGGGCTAGCACTATAAAAATCGGGCATCAGTATTTTCTTCCTCTGGTTTGTTTGGTCCAGATTCGAATGCATATGTCGCTCATTAAACGACAATCAACTGGACTATTTGACACTGTAACAACCTCATTAATTCAAAGATGCGATTTAGAATTGGTCTACTGCAAACTACGGAAGAGGCAACTATGCTTGTATTAAAGAAGCTACGAACGGGATCAGGTGATCAGGCTCGCTGACTTGGCTGATGCATGCCATCGTATCCTATTTGCATAGATCGATGCACATGGGGCTTAATCACAAGATTGTCTGGTAGAGATCTCATAGCTGGAATATTTCTGAATGTTGCGTTAAAGAACAAAGAATCAAACAAAAATAATTCAAAATCTTCAGGATCTTTGATACTAACAAATCAACCTTGATTGAAGTCAGTATAAGGCACTATTTCTATAGTTATCAGGTCGACATGACGATGATATCGATATTCAATGTTAACATATATGGATTTACTGATGCCGGTGTATATACATATTTTATTTTTAATTATCCAAACAATGCGTAAATGGAGGTTTTCGACACACTTCAAAGATATGCCGAAAGCCATTATGTCAAGTTTCATTTCATTTAAACCACAAACCGCATTACTAGTAGTAACAAATAGCTCACAGCTCCGTTTAAGAATATCTGATTCTTTTGAGAAAGTACACAATACATTTATTGGGGAAATGTCATTTGTATATGTCACTGTGATGGTTGGTTGAAATCTTGAGTGGATTGTGTCTCATTCACTCATGTACTGCCCAAACTCGATTATTTACAGTCCAACGAGAAACAGCAGCATTAATATTGTTCCATAAAATGTGGCGTAAAACATCATTCACTCTATTTCTCACTTTTAGTGGGATTTCCATTCTAGATCTGTTCCTGTAGTGAGGCTTTCATGTAAAACACGATAACATAAGCAATGTATATGACACACGTCAATGATTGGAAAAATGCTGATTTTAGTTTATGTAATGGTGTTGTTGCATACATATTTACAGCCATGTATGTCAACACTTTTTAAATTTTGTAATGGACATCATCACATAAACTGAATCTTCACTCCAGTGGTCATAAAAAACTCTCTTTCCAGAACCTCCCACACCGACAATTTGTGAATAAAACTATATAATCCGGCAATACTCTACGAAAACCGAAGACATTACTGTATCTCTCAGCATCAGGTTGGTATCTTGCAGTCTCATATATGGTTCAATATGATTTCTCACTGCTCTCCTGGTATCTCCAATTTTATAGAGGTATCTCACAGACAGCTGCGCAATTACAACACAAGTCCATTTTATGAACAGTGAGGTTAATGTTGGTATCTTTCACAAATATTAAGTCGATCATCTGTACTTTATCTCCAAATACCGGCTATCATATCTTGTCCACTTTTGCATGCGATCGTTCGGCCATTGCGTTCATCTAAGTTGCACAGGAACATCTATGGGGAACAGCTAACTAGATCCTTATAATTACCACTCAAAATTAACGCCATCACGTTTCGAACACATATTCGAATCTCCAGAAATGACGTCATAATAGAACAATGTTTTATCGTAAAATAAAACACGTTACGTTCTTCATTGTTTTTTGCGATTTATCATGTAGTTATCTTATATAAACCATTAAATGACAATAAGATTTTTTTTTACATTAGATATACATGGATATGACATTGAACTCTTTATCATCAACTGTGTGGTGCATTGGTGTAATTTCGTCGTTAAACCATTTGCTCATCCCGCCTGAGATCAAGGATCAATTCCCCACGTGGATACAATGAGACCTGAATACATTGGACTAGCCTAGTGTTTATAAAATTAGACCAACATGATGTGAAATATTTGCTTTAATGTGAGGTGAGACGGAAGGTGAGGGAGTGATCCGATCCCCGGCCGCATCAAACCAAAAGACATCAAAGGATGGTACTTGTGGCTACCCTGCATGACGTTAGGCATTAAGCGTATAAAACAAGGACTGGTCGGCTCGGAGCATACTTTATGTGAGTGAGGTATCCATGTTAAACTGTGGGCTAGCACTATAAAAATCGGGCATCAGTATTTTCTTCCTCTGGTTTGTTTGGTCCAGATTCGAATGCATATGTCGCTCATTAAACGACAATCAACTGGACTATTTGACACTGTAACAACCTCATTAATTCAAAGATGCGATTTACATTTGGTCTGCGGCAACCTACGGAAGAGGCAATTGGGGAAATATCATTTGCATATGTCACTGTGATGGTTGGTTGAAATCTTGAGTGGATTGTGGCTCATTTACTCATGCACTGCCCAAACTCGATTATTTACAGTCCAATGAGATAAAGCAGCATTGTTCCATCAAATGTGGCGTAAAACATCATTCACTCTATTTCTCACTTTTAGTAGAACGGGTTTCCATTCTAGATCTGTTCCTGTAGTGAGGCTTTGGTGTAAAACACGATAACATAAGCAATGTATATGACACACGTCAATGATTGGAAAAATGCTGATTTTAGTTTATGTAATGGTGTTGTTGCATACATATTTACAGCCATGTATGTAAACACTTTTTAAATTTTGTAATAGACATCATCACATAAACTGAATCTTCACTCCAGTGGTCATAAAAAAAACTCTCTTTCCAGAACCTCCCACACCGACAATTTGTGAATAAAACTAAATAATCCGGCAATACTCTACGAAAACCGAAGACATTACTGTATCTCTCAGCATCAGGTTGGTATCTTGCAGTCTCGTATATGGTTCAATATGATTTCTCACAGCTCTCCTGGTATCTCCGATTTTATAGAGGTATCTCACAGACAGCTGCGCGATTACCACACAAGTCCATTTTATAAACAGCGAGGTTAATGTTGGTATCTTTCACAAATATTAAGTCGATTATCTGTACTTTTTCTCCAAATACCGGCTATCATATCTTGTCCACTTTTGCATGCGCTCGTTCGGCCATTGCGTTCATCTAAGTTGCACGTGAACATCTATGGGGAACAGCTAACTAGATCCTTACCTCTCAAAATTAACGCCATCACGTTTCGAACACATATTCGAATCTCCAGAAATGACGTCATAATAGAATAATGTTTTATCGTAAAATAAAACACGTTACGTTCTTCATTGTTCTTTGCGATTGATCATGTAGTTATCCTATATTAACCATTAAACGACAATAAGAATTTTTTTACATTAAATATACATAGATATGACATTGAACTCTTTATCATCCACTGTGTGGTGCATTGGTGTAACTTCGTGGTTAAACTTTTTGCTCATCCCGCCTGAGATCCAGGATCAATTCCCCTCGTGTTTACAAAATTAGACCAACATGATGTAAAATATTTGCTTTTAAGTGAGGAGAGACGGAAGGTGAGTGACCCGATATCTGGCCGCATGAAACCAAAAAAACGTCAAAGGATGGTACTTGTTGCTACCACGCATGACGTTAGGCATTAGGCGCATAAAACAAGGACTGGTCGGCTCGGAGCATACTTTATCTGAGTGAGGTATCCATGTTAAACTGTGGGCTAGCACTATAAAATCGGGTATTAGCATTTTCTACCTCTGGTTTGTCTGGTCCAGATTGGAATGCATATGTCGCTCATTAAACGACAACCAACTGGACCTTTTGACACTGTAACAACCTCATTAATTCAAAGATGCGATTTAGAATTGGTCTACTGCAACCTACGGAAGAGGCAACTATGCATGTATTAGAGAAGCTACGAACGGGATCAGGTAATCAGGTTGGCTGACTTTGTTGATGCATGCCATCGTATCCTATTTGGGTGGATCGATGCTCATGGGGGTTAATCACTAGATTGTCTGGTCCAGATTCGATTGTTGGCGGGATCACCATCTCATAGCTGGAATATTTCTGAATGCTGTGTTAAAGAACAAACAATCAAATAAAAATAGTCAAAGTCCTCAGGACCTTTGAAACTATAGAGTCAACCTTGATTGAACTCTGTATAAGGCAATATTTCTTTTGGCATTAAACGTAAACAATATATGGATTTACTGATGCCAGTGTATATACATATTTTATTTTTAATTATCTAAACAATGCGTATTGGACATTTTTGACATACTTCGCAGATTTTCCGATAGCCATTATGTCAAGTTTCATTTCATTTAAAGCACAAACGTCATTACTAGATGTAACAAATCGCTCACAGCTCCGTTTAGGAATATCCGATTGTTTTGAGAAAGTACACAATACATTTATTGGGGAAATGTCATTTGTATATGTCACTGTGATGGTTGGTTGAAATCTTGAGTGGATTGTGGCTCATTTACTCATGCACTGCCCAAACTCGATTATTTACAGTCCAATGAGATAAAGCAGCATTGTTCCATAAAATGTGGCGTAAAACATCATTCAGTCTATTTCTCACTTTTAGTAGAACGGGTTTCCATTCTAGATCTGTTCCTGTAGTGAGGCTTTGGTGTAAAACACGATAACATAAGCAATGTATATGACACACGTCAATGATTGGAAAAATGCTGATTTTAGTTTATGTAATGGTGTTGTTGCATACATATTTACAGCCATGTATGTAAACACTTTTTAAATTTTGTAATGGACATCATCACATAAACTGAATCTTCACTCCAGTGGTCATAAAAAAACTCTCTTTCCAGAACCTCCCACACCGACAATTTGTGAATAAAACTAAATAATCCGGCAATACTCTACGAAAACCGAAGACATTACTGTATCTCTCAGCATCAGGTTGGTATCTTGCAGTCTCGTATATGGTTCAATATGATTTCTCACAGCTCTCCTGGTATCTCTGATTTTATAGAGGTATCTCACAGACAGCTGTACGATTACCACACAAGTCCATTTTATAAACAGCGAGGTTAATGTTGGTATCTTTCACAAATATTAAGTCGATTATCTGTACTTTTTCTCCAAATACCGGCTATCATATCTTGTCCACTTTTGCATGCGCTCGTTCGGCCATTGCGTTCATCTAAGTTGCACAGGAACATCTATGGGGAACAGCTAACTAGATCCTTACCTCTCAAAATTAACGCCATCACGTTTCGAACACATATTCGAATCTCCAGAAATGACGTCATAATAGAATAATGTTTTATCGTAAAATAAAACACGTTACGTTCTTCATTGTTCTTTGCGATTTATCATGTAGTTATCCTATATTAACCATTAAACGACAATAAGAATTTTTTTACATTAAATATACATGGATATGACAATATACTCTTTATCATCCACTGTGTGGTGCATTGGTGTAACCTAGTGGTTAAACCATTCGCTCATCCTGCCTAAGATCAAGGATCAATTCCCCACGTCGATACAATGAGACCTGAATACATTTGACTAGCCTAGTGTTTATAAAATTAGACCAACATGATGTGAAATATTTGCTTTATTGTGAGGTGAAACGGAAGGTGAGTGAGTGACCCGATCCCCGGCCGCATCAAACCAAAAGACATCAAAGGATGGTACTTGTGGCTACCCTGCATGACGTTAGGCATTAAGCGTATAAAACAAGGACTGGTCGCATACTTTATGTGAGTGAGGTATCCATGTTAAACTGTGGGCTAGCACTATAAAATCGGGCATCAGTATTTTCTTCCTCTGGTTTGTTTGGTCCATATTCGAATGCACATGTCGCTCATAAAACGACAACCAACTGGACTATTTGACACTGTAACAACCTCATTAATACAAAGATGCGATTTACATTTGGTCTGCTGCAACCTTACGGAGTTTCTACAGGCATCATGTCGACAAGACAACGATATTCAACGTAAACAATACACGGATTTACTGATGTCAGTTTATATGCATATTTTATTTTTAATTATCCAAACAATGCGTAAATGGAGGTTTTCGACACACTTCGCAAGTTTGCCGAAAGCCATTATGTCAAGTTTCATTTGATTTACACCACAAACGTCATTACTAGTTGTAACAAATAGCTCACAGCTCCGTTTAAGAATATCTGATTATTTCTAGAAAGTACACAATACATTTATTGGGGAAATGTCATTTGTATATGTCACTGTGATACTTGGTTGAAATCTTGAGTGGATTGTGGCTCATTCACTCATGTACTGCCCAAACTCGATTATTTACAGTCCAACGAGAAATACCAGCATTGTTCCATAAAATGTGACGTAAAACATCATTCCCTCTATTTCTCACTTTTAGTAGAACGGGTTTCCATGCTGTTACTGTAGTGAGGCTTTGGTGTAAAACACGATAACATAAGAATTGTATATGACACACGTTAATGATTGGAAAAATGCTGATTTTAGTTTATTTAATGATGTTGTTGCATACATGTTTACGTACATCTTCACTCCAGTGGTCATAAAAAATCTCTTTCCAGAACCTCCCACACCGACAATTTGTGAATAAAACTTAATAATCAGGCAATACTAGACATTACTGTATCTCTCAGCATGAGGTTGGCATCTTGCAGTCTCATATATGGTTCAATATGATTTCTCACTGCTCTCATTGCTATCTCCGATTTTATAGAGGTATCTCACAGACAGCTGCGTGATTTCTGCTGCATTGTCTGTCGGACATTCCACTATTGGTCAAACGTACACAGTTCTGTTTGCTTACGTTGTCAGGTTCGCCATGTGCCCACTTCCAGACATAAGTTGAACTGTCCTCCCAGATAAACACATTGTTGACTTGCTGCATTCCAACCCAGAGAAGGTCTGACACATCCGCTGCCAAGAGAAACCTCAGTGAACTTATGAGCCACCCATGGCATCAACCACACATTCACAAGAGACCCGAATATAGTAATATAAAAATGGTCTTGGTATGGCACTGTCCTTTAATAAAAGAGACCGCGAGTCTGTAGTGAGGTTAATACTTTACTATAGACGGACACAACTTACTGACGATACTCTGATATGAGACATTTTAGCTACAGGACACTGTACAATGTATATATTGAATCTCATTCTGTGTTCATAGGTATTCTACAGAAGGTCACAATGTACAAACGGGCACCATATACTGACCTTGACTCTGGAATGAGCTCATGAACTCCTGTTTCTCCTGACTGTTGAGGACGACAAGGCGGCCACCTTCAGAATGGCACAGATCATTTTGAGAAGCATGGTTGTTGGTGATTGATATCAACTTGTAACACAGCCGGGGAGACAACACGGACGTGTAGCCCCTGGATACAGGACATGGGTCTGGATCAGGAAGCGCTGAAAGTGAATAGCCCCGTTTCTCTATCATGTTCGTTTTCATTTTGCAAAACCATCTAAATGTGTAACAGAACATGTTGGAAGTTGGTTAACAGTCTCCGGAATGTGGTGAGTATTTCAGTTAAATAACGGCTTGTCAACAGTGAGGAAGTGACGTAGGTCAGAGACGTTCAGACAAGTAAATTAATGGTGCTGACAAACCTAATTACATAATCAGACGAATCTGTGTTTTTGAAACCATGATCATTCATATTTGTCATGTACCACACAGTGGGTAATTGAGTGAGTATGGTTTAACGCCGCTGCTAGCAATGTCATGGTGGGGGACACCGGAAAATGGCCTGCACACATTGTACCCATTTGGGGAATCCAACTAGGGTCTTTAGGCATGACGAGCCAAAGCTTTAACCACTAGACCACCCCACCGCCCCCATGTACCACACAGCGAATATTCCACCACCTTTGACGACTGGGCCACTCCTCCCTATTTCCAGAAGGTACTGATGTGGATTGTCCTACATTACTGCAATTGTCCGATAAATCCCGAACACTAACTAATCATGTCTACACCCAGAAACCCATTGAATGACAAAATGACGAATGAATGATCACCGCCATCGGGACACGATGCCATGACTTGAGTGACCACATAAAACAATTTAGTGACCTCTAGCTGACCAACAATTGTGTATTCTTATCTGGTATCTGGGTCATAATTGAAAAAATATACATTGCAGTAGTTAAATCACAATTGTTATCGTTATAAGTGACAGTATTTATTAAGTTTGGATGTAAATCGACTGGAGTACCAAAATTGAAACAAATTAGACGATACTACAGTAGTCACAACGTTCATATTGCATGAACATACATCAGGTTAAAAAGTCCTCTTTATAGATGTTAAATTAAACATAAACTCAAATTATAATAGTCATGGCATCAGCCTTAGCTTCCATGAAATTACAGTTCTTGAAACACATTGAGGTTTTTTTTATTTACTTCTGTCAAGGTGTTTCCTATTCTGGTATAATCATAAATTATGTCTCCCTGCACAAACACAAGATGGCAGCAATTGTTGAATCAGTGTTCAATGTCTAAATTGCCACTACAAGTGTCCTATGATCTCACCTCCTGCCTTGATGAAGTGCTTGGCTCCAGGGAATGATTTCGCAGATGACGTGAGAGTAGATCTGTACATGTTGCAGTTTCCACCAAGGTAGGTGACAGCAGCACAGAGTCCGTCCTGGGCACAGAGACCAGCACAGGTCCTTTCATCAAGAGATGTCTGTATGCTGGAGGGATGTTCCCGTGCCTGTAAACCTTCCAGTGTTATTTGTCTCTCAAAACGATGCCTGAAATTGCCGTTTCCTGCATACGCGACTGGGATGAAGACAATGACCAGACACAGCACAGCGTTCATCTTGCTTCAGTGTGACTCGACAGTTACTGCAGTGTGTTTTGACATCTGTTACCAATGTAATTAGATGTATACTTTATTATATAGGTTAATTCAGTACAACCATGATGTTTTCTCCAAATATCATGTTCCAAAGACAATCTTGAAATGTTAATGCGGTCACAGTGGATTTATTCAAAAAACATCGATTGGACAACGAATGTTTATTATTTTGTATCACTACCGTGAAATAAACCTTCAGTCAACTACGAGAAAATATTATAGATTTAATCCATCATTATCAACGGTCTGTTCCACATCCATTCATTTTACCGTGCAGTAAGGAACATTTTCGACTTTGCTGACCAATTTCGACTTGTATACTTAACTATATGTTACTCTGTAATAAAATATTGTCAAATGAAACATTTTGGTGTAAAGAGCATCTTTTGTTTGCGCTGTGATATAACTTATGTCATGTATTATTCATTATCAGAAAAGACAGAGTGAACTTTGAATCTCGACTTCTATTCTTTCAATCCGACATTTCGTTGAGATCGTCTCATTCGTCCACCTCTCTTTGATAAGGACAGGTTTGGCAACATGTTGTTCTTCGTATCAATTACAAAGAGTGGAGGCTATTGTCTGACAAGTAGAGGTTGCTGCAGTGCATCAGTTGTTCCCCGCCATATAATGTCATCTGCAGAGGCAGGAAGTGTAAGCACTTGGAGGAGTGGATTGGTATAAAGTACATATTGGTTGTTGTTAATGTAGCTCTCTTTGGAAAGCTAACTGAAAGAAAAAGTGTCTTTAAACGGCCAGCACAAGGAAAACCAAGGCAAGAAAACACATAACTGGGCCTGTTGTGCAGATAACAAAACACATGTTACTCTGTAATAACATATTGCCAAATGAAACATTTTGGTGTAAAGGGCATCTTTTGTTTGCTCTGTGATATAAACTTATGTCATGTATTATTCATTATCAGAAAGGACAGAGTGAACTTTGAATCTCGACTTCTATTCTTTCAATCCGACATTTCGTTGAGATCGTCTCATTCGTCCAACTCTCTTTGATAAGGACAGGTTTGGCAACATGTTGTTCTTCGTATCAATTACAAAGAGTGGAGGCTATTGTCTGACAAGTAGAGATTGCTGCAGTGCATCAATTGTTCCCCGCCATATGATGTCAAATGCAGGGGAAGGTGAGGTGATGTGAAATTGGGTTTAACGTCGCGTCCAAGATTATTGCACTTATATAGCGACGTGCATGCACGTGTATGTGTGTGTGTGGCTGCTTGTACTAGTCCGGACTGATGCCGATTTATAGTGCTAGCTCACTGAGATACCATGCCGCAGTTTAACATGAATACCCCACTCAGACACAGTATACTGAGCCGAGCCGACCAGTCCTTGTTTTAGCCCCTTAATGCCGAGCGCCAGACAGGGTAACAACAAGTACAATCTTTTAACGTATTTTTGCATGACGCGGCCGGGGATCGAACCCCGGACCTTCCGCTCTCCGGGCGGACGCTCTACCAGAAGACCACGGAGGCGGTCCTCTGCAGAGGAAGGAAGTGTAAGCAAGGGGAGGAGGGGATTGGTGTAAAGTACAAATTTGTTGTTGTTAAAGTAGCTAGCTTTGGAAAGCACAATACAAGAAATGGTACCTTTTACCGTTCAGCACAAGGAAAACCAAGGCAAGAAAACACATAACTGGGCCTGACAGGCAGAACTTGGTGTATACCCACTATTGGCACCAATAATATTCAAAATAATTGATTACATGTCCTATATAGATAACACAACACATGCCATTCTTCAACATGCTTTGGCAGCAAATATCAATATTTCTCGTCAAAATGTTGGCTGTGTTAAATATAACAAACTTTTCAAATAGTAAACACAAATAAATGTAATGAATCCAGTGTAAATAAAGTTTAGTCCAAATGTAAAAAATATGTTCACGCATTCATTACGGGATTCCCATTTATCCAACAGCAAGTTAAGAACACTCTCTCTCTCTCTCTCTCTCTCTCTCTCTCTCTCTCTCTCTCTCTCTCTCTCTCTCTCTCTCTCTCTTTCTCTCTCTCTCTCTCTCTCTCTCTCTCTCTCATTTCTCAAAACTTCGTTTAAATAATCACAAACTAAAAATTAAAAATGGTAGATATACAAAATCACCAACCCCATTTGAACAACGTCTCTGTGAAACGTGATGTCTTAGAAAATGAGCAACATTAGGCACAACCAAGAAAGAGAATCACAAATAATCCTCAAACATTATAAAGAATAACATACGATACATTGCAAAGGTAGTGTGCAATAGAGCTATTAGGGTAAGGCAGATTAGCACTTACTCTTAGTGATACAGCTTGAATATCATACGATGTACAGCATTACAAGGTCATTGTGTGTTAAAGCTCTATACTTTGCCTATATCTAAAGGAGATAATCGGTCAATGCGCATGTTTATTCTTACAAAATATAGACCGGTTAACTTTATTAGAAGGAGATATATCTCCACTATACATGTTTATTTCTTTTAAAACACAATGAAAACATTGCATGGATTATCTACGTTACGAAACATGACTAAGTCACAGAATGTGACAGGCGATTGGTTAAAACGTCCAGATTAAGTCACTCTCATTTCATTTTAAAAACTCAAATATTTTTTAGAGAAACCAAAATGGCGCTCTCCTTCAGTCAAAAACAAAATAACCCTTATACTTCCCCGCATTCAGGGCTGGGAAGAATAAATCAGCAGTAGAAACATTTAAAGTGTAATTTTATGCATACTTTTATTATCGTATTTGTACAAGTTTCTGATACCTACTGTACATGTTAGAAATTGCAATGAGATATTTCCCAATTGCGTAGATCAATGCTCATGATATTAATCACTGGATTGTCTGGTCTAGACTCGATTATTTACAGACCGCCGTCATATAGCTGGAATATTGCTGAGTGCGGCGTTAAACAACAAACAAACAAACAAATCAATGAGATATTAGAAGTTCACGAGACACAGTGGGTATTTGTATCGTGTTTGGTAAGGTTTCACACACATACAGTACATGTTTTCACTTATCCTCATCCTCCCAAACTGGCTTCCACATGAAATATTGCTTCAATGAAATTGAGACACAATGCTTTCCAGACCATTGTGACGTCATCGGTTACCCTCACTTTGAAGAATGATATTGGGATGATAAATAGAATCTCACCCTCGTTACTCGTGATATCAAATAAATCAACTCAAGACGATACAAGTTTTCAACTTTTAAAGTTCTTACAGTTTACATCAAAAGACACTCGTGTGAGATTTTCATGGTTTTGTAGTTCGTTGACCAACTGCGTTCAGAATCATATGGTTGTCTCATGGCACGTCAGAAGTGTGTGTCATTCCAACATGTATGATAAAATGGGTTACCCTTCAAAAATCGATCGCCGGCAAAGAGATAAAATGTGTGTATTTATTAAAATGTTCTATAGCAGAACGCCCTAGTACTTATAAGATCTTATACCATAAAATACATTTGTCAGTTTCCACAAAATCCTCCATTTACTGAATCATTATCACCATTCAAAAACCTGAATGAAAAATTGATTAAGAGTAACAGAACAAAGCAGGTAATTCAGAGTACATTTCTAGATCAACATGGACATATGGTTGACTGGTTCATTGTAAACGATTCTAGTTTTAGTTGTGTCCATTATTACGAAGCGAATGTTCTTTGGCTTTTTTCGATGTGAAATGTAATACCGACCTCAGATCAAAGAGTTTCGATTATGTTAAAAGGGGTTTGATAATAAAACTGTAGTGTTTCGAAAAACAGCTATGTCACTTCAATTGTTTATCGTAATTAAAACGCTGCGGGACAATACATCTTTGGGGGCGCAACGAGTAGTTTATTTGTATTTAAAATATCAGTATTATGTGCATCGGCTTTAAGGATTCTAATAAAATGTACAAGATTTAAAATGTCTGACAAGTTCATTTTATGAAATGCGGGGTTAATGTTGGTATCTTTCACAAATATTAAATCGATCATCTGTACTTTTTCTCCAAATACTGGCTGTCATATCTTGCCCACTTTTGCTTGCGATCGTTCAACCATTGCGTTCATCTAAGTTGCCCAGGTTCATCTATGGGGAACAACTCACTAGATCCTACCCTCTCAAAATTAACGCCATCACGTTTCGAGCACATATTCGAATCTCCAGAAATGACCTCATAGTAGAACAATGTTTTATTGTAAAATAAAACACGTTACGTTCTTCATTGTTCTTTGCGATTTATCATGTAGTTATCTTATATAAACCATTAAATGACAATAAGAAATTGTTTTACATTAGATATACATGGATATGACGGTGAACTCTTTATCATCAACTGTGTGGTCCATTGGTGTAATTTCGTGGTTAAACCATTTGCTCATCCCGCCTGAGATGCAGGATCAATTCCCCACGTGGATACAATGAGACCTGAACACATTGGACTAGCCTAGTGTTTACAAAATTAGACCAACATGATGTGAAATATTTGCTTTTAAGTGAGGAGAGACGGAAGGTGATTGACCCGATCCCCGGCCGCATCAAACCAAAAGACATCAAAGGATGGTACTTGTTGCTACCCTGCACGACGTTGAGCATTCAGCGCATAAAACAAGGAGTGGTCGGCTCGGAGCATTCTTCATCTGAGTGAGGTATCCATGTTAAACTGTGGGCGAGCACTATAAAATCGGGTATAAGTATTTTCTACCTCTGGTTTGTCTGGTCCAGGTTCGAATGCATATGTCTCTCATTAAACGACAACCAACTGGACTATTTGACACTGTAACAACCTCAACAATTCAAAGATGCGATTTACATTTGGTCTGCTGCAACCTACGGAGTTTCTACAGGCATCATGTCGACAAGACGACGATATTCAACATAAACAATACACAGATTTACTGATGTCAGTTTATATGCATATTTTATTTTTAATTATCTTAACAATGCGTAATTGGAGGTTTTCGACACACTTCGCAAGTTTGCCGAA